AATGCGGAGCTGATGCCAGGGACTTAAGGGGAAAGCAAATGGTTTGAGAATGATGAGGGCAATGAATGTACAAATATGCTTTATACAATTGATGTATGTATGGATTAGGATAAGAGTTGTATGATCCCCTAATAAAATAAAATTTTAAAAAAGCTATGAGTCCCCATAAAATTTTTATATATGTATACACACACACACACACACACACAAATATATATAAAGAAAGACACACACACACACACACCTGCTCACCAACAGACAGGTTCAAGGACACTCATTACAGCACTGTCAAAATCCAAAATGGAAACTATCAACTGCCTGCCAACAAGAGAACAGATAAATGGGCTGTGGGTAATTTCCACAATGGAATACTACTGAGCAATCTCCAAGCACACAAAACAATACGGAGGCACTGCATACATGTAAGGTTGAACAATTTTTAAAAATAAGAACTAGATTGGCAGGAAATCTTAGTCCCAAAGCACAGCTGAAACCTGCCCCTGTGGGTGCCCCGTTGATATTTAAAATGCTGGTGACATGGTGTCTAGCATCACAGCCACATGCCAGCTACAGACAGATGAGCAGAAGGTCCTGTCATCTGTTAAAGAGACGACCTTCGGATGGCAGTGGAGCACTGCCTGACCTACTGGGTCAGAAGATGCACCCAGCTCGGAAGACGCCTAAAACACACCTGGGAAAGCACTGCTTCTTCTACGAAGAGTCGCCCTTCATGACGTGGTTGGAGTAAAGCTTTGGGGACTTTCATTTGCTAATGTGGGTGACTCCAAGTGACAGGTAACAGCTGCAAATATACATTAATAATTGGAATGTGGAAATGTATAAAGTGTGAATCTAGGAAAATGGAAAGTCATCAACAATGAAGCGGAATGCATAATATCCTGAGCTAAAATGGACTGGTGTTGGCCACAGAGAACCAGAAAGTCATATTACTCACCATGCTGCAGGCGACACAGCGAAGAGGAAGGGCAGTGCATTCGTCGTTGAAAGAACAATTCAAGATCTGTCCTGAAGTCCACTGCTGCCAGCAATGGGGCTATATCCCCCTACACCTAGAGACCAGTTCCCCCGACTCTCATCAAAGTTACGCACTAACCACCAACGCCAAAAGAAGACCTCGAGACTTTGACCAGCTTCACGTGTAATGCACACTGAGAACTACTGATGCCCGGAATGCACAAGTTGGAAACCACCAGGAAGAATCAGTAGTTAGAAAGCACAGTCTTTGTGGTATAGAAACAACACAGGAGATCACATGGGAAAGTTTTGGAAGACTTATTCTTGGCAAATACCTTTTATCAAGAACATAAATGCTCTTGCGAGACTGAATACACAAGAATCAAAGCAACTACATATGTGGAAAGAGACAATGGAGAAGCTTAGTAACATCAGTCAGAATGAGGCTGGGGACCAACAGTGAAAAAGACCATCAACTGTTCTTATGCAAATTCAAGTTGAAGCTGAAGAAAGTTAAAACAACTTGAAGAGAGCCAAAGCACCACTTGGAGTAGACTCACTGGCAGAGAGTAAATCCTGACTCCTCCTGAAACTAAAGACCACCGCGAGGACAGATTTAATGCGTTAAACAGGGGGAGGGGAGAAAAGGCCAAGGTGGATGTCAGAAGAGACTGAATACAGAGCAGCTAAAGTGAATGGCTGCACCAGTGGGCTCAGGCATAGGAACATGGGGGAGGATGTCGTTCTGCTGTGCACGGGGTCAGAGCTGACTCGATGGCACTAACATGGACAAAGTGAGTGGAAGAAATGATGAGTAAGAAACTGAACAGAAGGGTTAAAAGAGTGCCTTAAGGATACATAATAAAATGTGCAAATACTTGGATTTGAAAACCAAAAAGGAAGAAAATGCTTGGTATTTTTCAAGCTGTAAAAACTGATATAAAAATTCACAAGGTACACCAATGAGGGAGTAATTGGCAAAATAATGAGTGATGCCAGAAGCATCAAAAGAAATGATAATAATAGTAATAATATAATAAGGGTTCCTGGGGGGGGGGGTCGGGTGGGAGAGGGAGGGGATAAATGGGAGCTGATATCAGAAAGTTCAACAAAGAAAATGTTTTGAAACTGATAGTGGCAGCAATTGTACAATTATGCTTGATTTAATTGAATTATGGATTGTAATATCTGTAAGCGCTTCCAATAAAATGATCAATAAATCACAATTTTAAAAGAAATGCATGAAGACACTATACCAAAAAGAATCGGGAAAGGTTCAACCATTTCAGGAGGTAGCATATTATAAGCACCGGTGGTATCAGAGGGAGAAGTCCAAGGTGCACTGAAGGCATTAGTAAACATACAAGACTTTAGGAATTGATGGAATGTCAGTTGAGATGTATGTTAGTTTGGGTACATTACAGAAACAAATCCACAGAAACTCATATTTATATGAGAGTTTTATACAAAGGGTAAATGTACATTAAGAAACCATCCCAACCCAGTGGTGTCCAAGCCCGAAAGTCCAACATTAGCTTATATGTCTGACACCAATCTACAAAGTCCTTCTGAATCCCACAAAACACATGCAATGACGCCAACTATAGGAGGAAAGCCAAATCAGTGAGCGTGTAAGCATCTCAGCACAGGCACAGGTCTCCATGTGGCTGCTCCAGCACCCGGGGCTGCATCAGAGTAAGTCTATGTGGCTTCTCCTCAGGGATGTCTTGCAGGAAGTGAGCCTTGCCAGCTGAAGCAGGGAACTGGTTAAGGCAGCTGCACCCTGGTCTGACTAAGAGACCTGAGAACAGAAACGTGAGGCTTACAGAGCCACCTCATGGAGAGACTTTCTCTTTTTTTCACTGCCCTTTTACTTTACCAAGCATGATCCCCTTTGCTAAGGAATGGGCTCTCCTAACACGTCCAAAGTACACGAGATGAAGTCTCACCAGCCTAACTTTAAAAAAAAAATCTTATGGGGGGATCTTACAATATTCCATATATCAAATGTATACAAGCATATTTTTACATATGTTGCCATCATCGTTTCCAAAACATTGTCTACTTGAGCCCTTGGTATAAGCGCCTCTTTTCCCCCCTCCTTCCTCCACCCTCGTGAATCCCTGATCAATTATAATCTATTATCATTATTTCATATCTTACACTGTCCATTATCTCCCTTCACCCACGTTTCTGTTATTTGTCCTCTTCAGAGGGGTGAGGCGTGGACAAGCAGGCTATATATCCAATCTTGTGATGGGCTGGCCCTTTCTCACCCTTCCCCCTCCCTGACCATCCGCCTACCCCAATGATATTGCTACACACACTACTACTTTTCCTGAGGGGTTTATCTGTCCCGGATTCCATGTATTGAGAGCTCTTATCTGTACCAACGTGTGTTCTCTGGTGTAGCCAGATTTGTAAGGTAGAACTAGGTCATGGTAGTGGGAAGGAGGAAGCATTAAGGAACAAGAGGAATGATGTGTGATTCATCAGTGCTGTAGTGCACCTTGGTTGAATCATCCCTTCCTTCCTTATAACCCTTCTGTGGGGGATATCCAATTGTCTACTGATGGGCTTTGGATCTCTACTCCAACCCCCCTTGTTAGCATTGATATAGTTATTTGTTTTGGATCTTTTGATACCTGATCCTGTCGACACTTCATGACATCACACAGGATGGTGTGCCTCTTCCATGTGGGTTTATTTGTGTCCCTGCTGGATGACTACTTGTTTGACTTTAAGCCATTAAGACCCAAGATGCTATATCTTTTAATAGACAGGCACCATCAGCATTTTTTTTTACCACATTTGCTTATGCACCCATTTTGTCTTCAGTGATTGTGTTGGGAAGGTGAGTATCAAAGAGTGGCAGGTTATTAGAACAAAGTGTTCCTGTGTTCAGGGAGTCCTTGAGTAGAGGCCCAAAATCCGTCTGCTATCTTAAGACTTAACATAAATATATGTGCATTGGTCCCTATCCCTTCCATTATAAATTAGTATATTTACATATATACATGCCTATACCACACCTCTATAAATAGCTTTTGCCTCCTATTTCTTTCCTCTGTTATTTCCTTTCACCTTCCTCCTGTCCCACTATCATGCTCACCCTCCATTCAGCTCTCACTATTTCATTTCATATACATTGCTCTTGATCAAACCCCACGTGGCATTATACACCCTCCTCACCATCAATTTTAGATCTCCTGTTCCCTTATCTCTGAGTTTGTTGGGTCCGCACTCTCCATCCCCGCCGTCTCCTCCCATGCCCCCACCATGCCAGTCCTGCTGTTTTCTCCTTGGGATTGTTTGTCCTGCCTATGTTATGTAGATAGACGTAAGGTGAAAGAGAAACAAAACCAAAACATAATAAAACAAACAAAACAGAACAGAACAAGAAAAAAGACACAAAACCTAATAGTTCCAGGTCTGCTGACCCATATGTGTGTTCACCAGGCTCAATGTTAAAGAGTATTCTGGCTGTACTTCTTCCAAGAGAGATGCATCTGTTCTTCTGCTAGTCCGTGGTACTTTGAATACTCTCACCATCAACATAATTCAAAGGCATCCATTATTAATCTTCCTTATGACTAAATTTCTTTCGCTATGCACATGATAATTTAATTTAAAATCTGCCCTACATTTCAATTATTATTGTACTGGGCTTAAACTTTCATCATATCCAACACCTTATGGAGCTGTACCTTTGGCTTCTACCCTCAATTTGGCCCAAATATAGTTGTGAATTTATTTTCCAGAAATGCATTTATCTTAACCTTAACTTATACATGTCCCACCTATAGGAGGACCTTCCATGGCTCCCCAAAACTTATAGAATTAAACCATAATCTTCACTTAGTGCTAAATGTAATATATTCAATATATATCCTACATATTGGATCTAGTCTATGGTCAGAATCAATGCCATGAAAGGAAGTTCTACTTCATAAATATTCCCCCTCACTGTTTCCCGTGACCTCCTATTCCTGTCCTGTGTGTTCTTGACTCTGTATCTTTCCTGACACGTTTCCCACCCCTTACCCACACTCTGAATTAAAAGTATTACTTTACGATAGGCTCACATTATCACATAACCCTTTACTGTGGATGACTTCTTTTAAAATTGAGATATAACTTACAACAAAATGCATAGATCGTAAGTGTTCATTTTAATGATCTTTGTGTGTAAATCTGTAACCAAGTCCAAGATATAGAACATTTTCACTACTCTAGAAAGTTTCCCTGAACACCTTTCCAGCCAATCTGGCCTTCCTCGACCAAGTTTAATCACCAGAGGTTAGTCCAGCCTTTCTTCATAACAGACACACATACCTTTCTGTTAATTATAAGTCTGTAAGTTCAGGAGAACATGAAGGAGACCTCAGAGTAGAACTAAGGGGTGGTGTAGGAAGACCATGTCGACGCATCTCTTGGATTGCTCGTTCTCTGTAAGTAAAACAAGAGAAAGAAATCACTATGACCAACCATAATGTACTAAACAAAGTGCTATACAAAACATAAGTAAGGTGCTGTACAAAACATTAAGTGTTACTGATATTAGCTAATTAAGTATTCTCTACAACAGGCACAGGGAGAAAAGATGGGGCTGTCCAGTCCTATAAACAATTATTCTCAGAAAGCCACAAGGGCAGTTCTACTCCATGGCCCTAATTTGATTTTTTAAAAGTTTACTACATTAAATAATTGATATATATATTATTACTATATTTAAAAGCACTACATTCTTGGATAATTTTTGAGTAAATGATAAAATATTTTCATTACAAGAATTTGTATTTAAGGGATTATTTAAAGCAATATGGTAAAACCAAAATTGTGGGATAACAGTTCCAGTTCCACTGTCAGGGTGATTCCTGAAGGCCTCAAACAGGAGCCCTGGTGGCTTAGTACATTAGGACCTGGGCTACTAACATCACGGTCAACAGTTCAAAGCGACCAGCTGCTCTGTGGGAGAAAGATGAGGTTTTGTGCTGCTGTAGACTTACAGTCTCAGAATCCCACCAGGGCAGTTCTACTCCATCCTATAAGGTCACTATGAGTTGGAATTGACTAGCTGGCTGTGAATTTAGTTTGATCTTGGTATTTAAATTTCAGCAGATTGGACATAAAGAACTGTCTGAAATGGCTCCTTTGGTGGTTGATAATGAAAAAAAAAAAGTTTTAGAACCACAACTAACTAGAAAGTCTGGATATAAAGAACGCGAGACAGAAAAGCATGTGGCTAGCCCACCAAAGGGATGACAGCACAGCCACTATGCTCCATGGGGTTAGAGCCAGACACACACAGGGAAACAAAGCAGGGCAGGCCGTTGCCTTTCTGACCTTTGTTTGCTCTTGTTTTCTTAGTCTCCCTTTTGCTGATTTCCAGCCTTATGGCACAGTGGTCAGAGAGTGAGGTCTGTATGGTATCAATGTGCTTACACTATGGAGATTCGCCTTATGCCCAAGCATATAGTCTATCTTCGAATATGTGCCATGCAGGCTTGAAAAGAATGTGAATCTTTTTGTATTTAGATGAGAAGCTCTGTAAATATCTATCGGGTCAAATTGTCTAGTTGTAATACTCAGGTCTCTAGACTCCTTGCTGAGTTTCTTTCCGTGATCTATCTTGCTGTTTGCTTGGTATGCATTTCTCCAGCCTGTGATTCTCAGCCTATTTTTGTCTGTAGCCTTGAGATGTGTCTCCTGTAGGGTTGGTGGGTTGTTTTCTAAGCCAGTCTGCTAGTCTCAGTCTTTTAATGTCTGAGTTCAGACCATCAATATTCAGAGTTATTATCTCCATCCACGGACTCTGTGATGTCATCTTATACCTTTTGTGTTGGGTGTTTTCCTACTTTCCTTTCTCATTAGTGTGTTGTACATGAGTGTATGTGTATATGTACCATTCTTGACTTCTTTCCATCCTTAAGCCAATGACATCTTGGGGTCTGTTTTCTCTTTGTTGCCCTCTGGGTGAGGTTGTTCTAAGTGGTGTTCTTTTTATGCTTGGTGAATGTTGTTCTTCTGCCCATTCTGGGTCAGCAAGGATATTTTGTAGGGCTGGGTTTATTCTAACGTATTCTTTGAGTTTTTCCTTGTCTGGGAAGACTCTTACTTCTCCATCTATCTTGATCGATAATTTGGCTGGGTAGCGTATTCTTGGGTTTGCGTTGTTTTCCTTCAATTTTTGGAATATGTTACTACACTCTCCTTTTCTTCATAGTTTCTGCTGATAAGTTTAAGCATATTTTTATTTGGGAACCTTTATGTTATTGTTTGTTTTTTCCTAGCTGCTCTCATGATTTTCTCCTTTTCCTCAAAGTTGGATAATTTAACTATTATGTGCCTTGGTGACTTCTTCTTAGGATTCAGTCTAGCTGGTGATCTTTCAGCCTCCTGAATGGCTGCCTGGTTTTCATTCATTAAGCTGGGTAAGTTTTCCCCCAAGAATTCTCTCAGTATTGTTGCAAATGACTTCTTTGTTGTGTCTTCCTCTGGTAAGCCAATAATTCTAATGTTGTTCTGCTTCATAGCATCAGACATAGCTCTTAGATTTTCTTCAGCTTCTCTGATGATCTTAACAGATTTTTGTTCACGTTTGTTAAAGTCTGCTTGGCTGTCCTCCAAGTCACTGATGCAATTCTCTGCTTCATCCAGTCGATTCTCAAGGTCCGTGTTTCTGCTACTGGTTTTTATTATCTCTACCCTAAGCTCCTGTATTTCCCTTTGGTGTAAGGCCTTTGTCTCCTCTAGCACTTAATCCTTTTTCTGTATTGTTTCCCTTATATCTTGTATGACTCCAAGCAGCATTCTGAAAATTTCTTTCTGTGGCAGTTCAATGTCTGCTTCTTCTATGCATGTCATTGTGTTCGGGACATCTTCTGCGATTGCCTTTTGTTTCTCCTGTTTTTTCGTTGAGGTCGTTGGGGCCTAGATAGGAACAAAGGGGGTTTGTCCCCACTTAATGCCTGCACTAAATGAAATAGCTAGCTGTCCATGCCACTATATAAAGGAGTTGGGAAGAAGTCAGGCACAGTAATTAGACACCTGTGGGAAAATCCAAAACTGAGCATGCTCAGACCCAAGTCACATAGGCCCAGGTGGGAGGTACTTTTGGGTGCACAGACTAGGCATCAAGCACATGACATCACACAGGCGCACCTAAACTCAGCCAATAAAGTTGGCCTGTACCCTCCACGATGCCTCCGACCCCTCTCTCTGGTTCTGGTGTGCCGTGCAAGGGGAGGGTGGGAATCGCTCCTGCGTGTACAGTACTTAGGTGCCCGCAGGCCCTTTCAGCCCGTACTCTCTAGTCCTCTGGGGATTTCCTGCTCTTGGTTCCGACTGTATAATGTGCTCCTGTTCCGGTATTCCTTCCATGTGTTTTTCTGTACTCCCCTGAACCTGCCATTTTCAGTAGCGAACTTTCCCACCATGGCACCCTGCCATGCAGCCTTGCACACTTTCCAGGGACACGATGTATTTTTGAGACCATAATACCTGAAACTTCCCTTTCCCTTAAAAGTCACTTGGATATACAAAAGTGCTTCTGCCACGAGAATTCTTTCAGTGTTGAGAAGCAAGAACCAAGGTAAACCACCCCAGAAACCTATCACTGGTAGAAGACAGGGTTGTTCCCTTTAAGACTATGACCTTACTGGATGGTATGTGAAGAAAGACAAGGTCATGTGGCTCAAGTCTAAGGCACGGGAAAGAGGACTAAGGCATGGGAAAAGAGAAGAGACTAAGGGGGCCTCTAACCCTGGGCTTTCTGAAAGCATAGGATCCTTTAATTGAGAATTTTAAAGTTAATAACTGGGAAATGGAAATCATAATACAGGCACACTTCAGCACATTCAAAAATCACATCTTCAAATTTATAAAAAATTAAAAACACAGATTTCATTTAATGGTTGTAACCTCGGATCTCATATGTGCTTGGAAACAGAAGATTGACTTTGTAGCAAATTTAGTCAACACTCCAACAGCACATCACTTAAAAGTTTTGCAGTGCAAATGGGTAAAAAGAACAGAATGTACAAGTTGAGCTCATAAGCAGCTTGACCATATTTGAGGATGCAATCTCAGGAACGTGGATGTCTGTGGCACTTACATACTGGGCCTGAGTAACAGAAAAGACACTTGAAAATTGATTTGTAAATTATATTTCAATTTTAACTCTGAAAGCTGATGTTATTTCTGTTTGCATCACTTGGACATTAAAAATTTCAACAACAAAAAAGCAAATGAACTGACATCTGAGTATGAAAATAATTGAGCTGTTGGAAATATATTGTAGAGGATCAAAGCAGAGGGTTTAAAATTAGACACGCAGTCCTGGATTGAAGTGCTGGTTTTACCATTTGACCTTTTTTTTTTTCATTCTGTTTTTATGATAAAAATATCTCAATAAAAAGGGGGAAAGAGGGCAACAGAGATTTCATTGAACAAAATCACCATTTCATCTAATCCATTCTGGCTAGTGTTAAAATGGAATAGGACTACTGTAATACAAGGGATCTTCCAAAAGCAGAAAATACGGAATTAAGAAGGCTAACGGAACTTTTCCACGAACTTAAGTCCCTTCGTACAAAATAACCACTACAGCAGTGTCCAAGCCCACAACCCTCCCTCGGAATGCTTCCAACCCAACATTCCCCAACCTGTCGGGCCTGTGGAGGCAGTGGCCCCTGGATCGTACCCAGTCTCTGTTGTTAGGCTGGTCGTGTGGAGAAGAGCTCAGTACACAGGCACCTGAGGTCTGCCAGATCGCCAATAAAATCAAACAACTGAGTGAAAGCATACATGATAGAGGGAACACTGGGTTCCCTTCTCTTCAGACAAATGGTTTTACCATTTGTAAATCATTTCACAATCCTTAATCTTTATTTCGCTAACTGTGATACAGGTACCAAAATCAGACTGTTGGAAGGATTACTGTAATATGCGAGGGGGGGTTTGAAAGGTTCATAGGATATTTTCATTATCTTGCAATTACATTTTTCCACGATCTTTCTGAGGCCTCCTGGTACATTACGTGGCACATATTTGTTCACTGCTGTATCACCATCATCATCAGCTTTACGATAATTTGTATTTGAAATTTCTTCCATGGACCATATTCGTTTTGCATCCCCGTAGAATCCCTAGTTTCTGGATAGTACAATGGTTCCCACACTCAGTTGCTAACTGAGAAATTGAAGGTTAAAGTCCACCCAAAGGCACCTTGAAAACAAAGACTTGTTTATCTACTTCCCCAAAATTGGTCAATGAAAACCCTATAGCACACAGCTCAGTTCTGATACACACCAGGTCTCCCTCTGTGGGACTGATGACGGCAACCCCGGTGGTGGCAGCAGAATCCCTCTTAGCTTGTTGAGTCCCTCGCTGCTATACTTAGAAATAATATCCTTGTAAATATTATCTACTTTAATTTATAGATCGGTGTTTCTCAAAGTGGGTGATAATGCCCCCCTGAAGGGTGTTGGGATGATAGTGGGGGGAGAGGGGCCTGCAAAAACATCTTAACCTTACTTTGTAATTGCTCAGGAGGTGTTGAGTGATTTTGGGGGGGTGGGGGGGTGGTAGGCCAAATAAGTTTCAGAACCTATGATATATATATCAAATAATGCTTTAAGAAACATTCATGCAATACTTGCTATTTTACCTATTGCATCTATGTTACCAAACATTCCATTACACTTGTTATCTATTTAGGAAGAATTGTTAAAAATAACTTAAGTTTTAATGTTTTTTAAAAAAAGAAGTTGGTATTTGTAAATTACATTGAATTCTTTTTGGGATAGGACAGGAATATTTTTAAAAAAGGAAAAAAAGCTGTTTAATGCTAATCTTTATGTTCTTACCGCTCATATCTTTCTGTTGAAATCTGTCTTTTTATAGAATCGTAATCCATGTGTAACTGGGCCAACTTAGTCCGAAGCATGCTGTTTTCCCGGCTTTGGCAATTCCTTAAAAACAAATACAAAAATCAAAGAAGCAAGCAAGCAGTATTGTTTTATGTTAGTTACCTGCCACAGGCTGGCTTTTGTTAACAGTAAATAAAATGGAGGTGGTACTAAAGGAGAGATTGAAGAGAAAGACCTTTCTATAGCAATTTGCTAAGCTTATTTCCCTCTCATTCATCTGTCTCATTGTGCAAACACAAAGTGAGCCCATACTACATGATCAGCACTGTAGCATTCTGGCAATACAAATTTGAACAGCACATGGACTCTAACACTCAGATGTAAACTGGCTTCATCTTTGACTCTCACCTGCAAGACTTAACTATGTATCATAGGGATTAAAGACATAGGGTTGAAAAATGAGACAGGTATGCCTGGAAAGAGAACCATCTCTCCCACATGTGCTACCTACTCTGGGTTTCATCCCCCCCTTCCAGCACCTGTGCCCAAACTTCTCCATCTGAAAAACACTATCATCGCTCCTGAAAGGCAGTCCACCTGCTCATGAGAATCAAATCTTGAGGTTGTCTCTTATCTTTTGTCCCAACCTCAGCTGAGACACAGTCGCCTCTCTGAAACATTTTTCTGGTCACCCCTGGAATGCAGGCATTTTTCTAGCATACACTCTTTTCATTCAGTTTCACCGGGTCACCTCTGTGTTGAGGATCTCCAAACATGAGGCCTCCCGTGAACTACTCTGCTACAACCTCCGAAGCAGCAGACATTTAGCTCAAATATTTCGGTTTGTACCTCCTTCACTCTCGCACTGCTCCCCGCTGCTGCAAAAAGGAAATTAACTTACATTGATCTATAACACTTACAATTTGCTTTCTGAAAGGGTTAACTTCTCCTTGAGTAACTGAATTTCCGTGTCCTTCTCATGGGAGCACAGATGAGAATGGAATTCTTTGTCTCTGTTTGTGGCCAATAAAGATTCCAGGTTTTTAATGGTATGTCTCTCGCTTGTTAATTGCTTTTTAAATAGGTCTGCTTCTGATTTTGCATTTTCTAATTCCACTACAAGCTAAAGAAAAAAACAAGAATACATTGGAACAATTTTATACTTAACACAAAAAATTCTTTACAATAGAGTCCAGAGAGGTGCAACACATGGGTGCTTGTTAGACTTGGAACCACTTCCTTGATGAAAAACATTATAGTTTTAAATTCAACTTTACTGTTTTTTACTAAATTATGAGGATGGAGCAAGATGGGCAGCGTTTCATTCTGCTGGGTGTTGGGTCATTATGAATTAGAGCTGAATTGATGCCACATATTCTACTAAGGGTTTGACTATAAGACTGATTCCAGGCCTCAAATAGCTTTCACTCCTCCTACTTGTCAAGAGAGATTAACAATGCACTCCTAAAATGCAGCAAAATGCAGTGTAATATATTAATATAGACCTTCTAGCCAGTCTTGGTGATTCCTACACTATACTTGGGTGGGGCTATGTAAATGAAGTACTTGCCATCTACCAAGAGGACTGGACAACCTGCTAATAATGCAGGTAAGTTGTGTGGCATCCTTCTAGTGTGGGAGCACCCACATAAGGTACATGGGACCCTGACAAAGGTACTGTCATCCTACTACGTTTACAGGAAGTCAATCCAAAAAGCAGAAGGGGACCTCACTACCACAGAGAAGAGCCAAGATCATTCTGTGACTTTTTGACCCAGGTTCCTTGTGCTTTGAACCTCCAGTCTCAGGAGACTGAAAGCTGTTAACATCAGAGAGGGTGTGAGATGACAAGGCAAGGAGACAAGAACAGCAGAGAACAGACAGCCGCAGAACCAGGAGATTAACAGGAGACAGTGTGTGGGCTTCCAAGTGCATGGTACAAGGTGGCTAGAGGGGGTATGACAATCCTCAGGCTGAAGCTTGCTGGCAGAGTAGGGTGCCTCTGGACATTTACTAGCAGAGCAGAAGAGCTTTATAACACTTGTCCAAGCAAGGCAGAAGCCAGGCTGAGAGCCAAGGGGCTGATACACAGGCATGCTTGTAGGCAAAGCTGAGCAGCTGTCAAGACCCCAGAATGGCATCAGAGTCATGCTTAACTCTCAATTGTCACCTACTTCTCTAACAGACTCTATAACTATAGTATGGTCTGTGAGTCTTGTGCGGCCACTGAAATACTTGATCAGACCTACCAAAGAAGTAGCCTGCCATAGGAGGAAGAATGTGTTACAATCGGTAAAGAGATTGGAGGACAGAGGTTCGTCTGACCACTACCTCACAGGAACCGGCCTTGGTCTGAACTTGATCTCCTTACCCTTTGTGAAGTGAGAGGAGGGCAGACAATGCCACCATGCCATCTTTACATCAGCCTATCTGCAACAAGGTCTTTTGGCTCTATTAAAATGGTGCCTCTGACTATCGCATTAAGCCAATATTTTGGCTTTTCAATAATTAAATATAGTACTAGATGAGTGAGAATTCAAAACACATACTAGGTTGTGGAAAGCAGGGCTTCAAATTGGTGCTGCTTAGTTCAGTCATGGCTGATAAAGTAAAAATTTTGAGATGTGAGTGCACCAAGACAAGAACAAGGATGGGTCAACTTCTAGGTTGACATCTGCAAGACAAAATTGCCCTCTTAGAAAACAAAGGCAGCATGTGCACTGCACAGCAACCAAGTCTCTTGACTGGCACAGGCAGAAACAGCAGTGTCTGTTGGGTCAAAGATGACAGCTAACCACATCACTCTGAATGTGTGCCGCTCTCCATGGTGCTGGCAGTAACACACTCACAAGCCATCAGGCTCCGAAAAGGGTTTGCTGTGTATTTAAGTCACTGCACATATACGCCTAGACTTTCCTCTGGAATTTTTCCCATTTCAGTTCTTTCCTGTACACCCACATTTACAAATTTGGGTCTATTCCAATTTTGCTGTTTGGGCCCTAACTGAATCTGTTTGAAGCCCTGTTTTAAAGTAATGCCTCAGTTTGGGAACGGGAAGTTTCAGTTAACTAGACATTTTAGATTATGTAAGACTGAAAGCGACTGAATTTTTATCAGAAAAAATATGCACGAAACAAGGCATTTCTCAAGCCTTCATTCAAGACTAACTTCAAAAAAATTATTCAGACTGGAGTTTAATTCAAGTTTCCTTCCTAGGACCATTTGTTATACTCCACATTAAATACATTTTAAAATTAATTAAAATAAACATTATTAGCTCAATGCTAGCAAAATATATTCTTTGTTAATATTTGGAAGTCAAGACATTGGACATAAAGTACTAGGAACTGACAGCAGGCACAAGGAAAGCTAACTGAGATTCAGGGTTCTTCAATGAGAATGAGCAATTCCCTAGCCCACCCACCCTATGTCTTCTCGAAGCAGCACTTAAAGCTAGCAGAGCCATGAGATGCAGCAGTGTCTCCTGCACAAAATGAAGAAATTGACAATCTTCTTACACTAGCCAAACTGATCATATAGATATGTAACTTTCTACTATATTTCCTCTGCAAATATTTTTTTAAATAAAGATGAGATGATACTGTAAACAATACCTTACAATTTGCCCTTACAACATCTCAATAAGTATAGATTTTTATAACCTTTAAAAATTGCTAAAAAAATTGCTGTTGATTTTTATGTCATTTCAATGGGCAATTATAAGTTCTTATTTGGGGGTGTTATGCTGTTTTGAGTTTTAGGTGAACATCCTCATCTATAAAAGTGTATGACTCCATGATTCTGTTTCGTCCAGGCAATGTGGCGGCTGGGTGGGAAAGTAAGCAAAGCACCTGGATGTAGATACGAGTGTCCCTGAGTTTAAGGGTCATGGTGAGGATCAAAGAAACCAAGTATCCTCTGCTGCCAGCTGGCAGGAAGCCCTCGGCTCTTGTGATGGTCCAGGAAGTTCTCATTCCTTTCAAAGTCTTACTGAACATGAGCATGGCTCCAGATCCTACGTGATGACATATCCTGCTACAGAAAGCTAGCTCCCGCTGGTGCATAGTTCTTTGTTACTGGAAAAGGCATGGCTCTACCAGGTCTTGAGCTGACACAAAGAAATGGATGAGGATATGCTCCTAACTTGCAATTTACAATGAAAAGTCATGTTTTCCTAAATGCCTCTCCATCCTCCACACAGCAGCACGTTTCATCACCATGAGTGTGAGAAGTCTTTGAGAAGCACCTGAGAGTCAAATCTAGTCATCAAAATCTTGCTGTCAGAATTAAGTACACTTTGGGGCATACTGGGAAGAGCCAGAACTGGGGTAATTACAGGTGGACGCCTACGAGTTGGAGACTGGGAAGAGGTGGTGTGAGCCTGGTCGGGAGCTGATATGGAAGGCTGTACTGTTGTCAGCACCACGGAGAGCAGCAGTTAAGAATGACGTGGTTGGCAGTCATCTTAGAGCTGGACACTGCTGTTTCTGCTCTGCCAACAAGGGGAAAAGATCTATTGAATTGTTGTTAGGTGTTATTGAGTCAGTTCTGACTCCTAGTGACTCTCATGCACAACTGAATGAAACACTGCCTGGTCCGGCACCATGCTCACAATTGTTTCCTGTTCAAGCTCAGCATTATAGCCACATGCCAATCCATTGTGTCAAGGATTTTCCTCTTTTACACTGCCCCAATACTTTGCCAAGCATGATGGATATATTGGATGGAAAACAAAAATAAAACAAGGCTTAATAAAACCATGATTAAGGCTTAATAAAAGGCTTAATAAAACAATGTGCTATGACAGGACTATTTTTGTTTTTTGTTCTTACCCTTTCAAACTCAAGGTTTTTGGAATTCAATTGTTGGGTCATAATATCCTTGCCTGAATCCAGTTTAATGCAAAGTTCTCTGAGAGATGCTAAATCGTTTAATGCTACCGCCTTCTCCTCTTCTTGGTTTCTAAGGTCCTCTTCCAATCTAGACATGCCTTTTGCCATTGACGAGATCTGCGATTCATAGGCATGATGCGCACTTATGTGCTGAGAAAATAGAAGGAAACAGGTAAAGAGTTAAAGACAAGTAACCTGACAAAGTTAAAGGCATCTTGAATCTTCACCTTAACAAATATGAAAGTCAGTGTTTGCTCTTGGGGGATATATTTCCTATTATTAAAGATAACTTCTTATAATACTTTATAAGAACTGTGTACAATTATTAATCATGAAGTTATTGTGTTAGTGTTGTGAATACAAAGAGATTTTGAAGCTACATTCCATTTCTCCTTTATAATATTTATTACATAATTTTATTGGGGGGCTCATACAGCTCTTATAACAATCCATACATCAATTGTATTAAACACATTTGTACATGTTGCCATCATCATTTTCAAATCATTTTCTTTCTATTTGAGCCCTTGGTATATCAGCATTTTTTCCCCTTAAGAACCCTTGATAACTTTAAATTATAATTTTCTTATGTTACACCATCCACTGACTCCCTTCACCTACGTTTATGTAGGTTTCCCCTTTGTGCCACCTTCTCCCTACCTTCATGGTATTGCTATTCCCATTAATGCCTTTATAATTATTTTCGTCATAACAACACCTTTTTAGGAAAAAGAAACACTAACATATACACTTGTCTTCAGTGTAAAGTCAGAATTTCATAGGGCTGAATACTTAAAATCCTATTTAAATTTTTAAAATATGACATATAACTTCATGACATTTTAATAAATTTATAATAAAAATTTTAAATACGGATATTTTATTTTCCAGCACAATCTGCATTTCTAATCCCTCACAGTTGTAATAAATATAAACTGATATGAACTCTACTTCTAGATTGAGATTAATTTTATACTTGGAAAATGAACATATTTTAATGGACTTTACTGAACAGAACAATGCAAGAAATCTGTGGTGTGTAGATTTAGTAAGTTTCACCAGTTTCAGAGACATGGTGTGGGAATTGTGCCCGATCTGACCCCACCACACCAAGGCCAAATACTAAGGGTGCGCAACAGAACAGCAAGGGGAGCAGAGCAACAAAGTCCCCAGGGAATACCAAAAATAGACTTTGGGGCCAGGGCATGGCACCCCATCAGACCCAACTGTAAAACATTCCTAAAGGTCAACAAACAGACCTGTAACTATTTACAGGCTTTTCCTTTTTTTTGTCGTTGGGTTTTTGTTGTTTTGTTTTACTCTGTCTCTTTGGGGTACCTATTATTGTCTCTGCCGGTCTATCTAGATAAGATATGCAGGATAAACAATCTGGAGGAGAAAAGAACGGGACTGATGCTTCCACGGGGGACATGGGAGAGGGCGAGGTGGGGGAAAGGAAGTGGTGGTGTTAACAAACCCAGGGACAAGGAAACAAGTGATCCAAAATCGATAGTGAGGAGGGTGTAGGAGGCCTGGAAGGGCTTGATCAATGGCAATGTGAGAGGAATTAGTGAAACCCAAATGAAGGCTGAACATGATAGTGGGACAAGAAGAAAGTAAAAGGAAATAGAGGAAAGAACTAGGAGGCAAAGGGCATTTACAGAGGTCTAAATATAGGCATGTACATACATAAATATATTTATATATGACGGTGGGGAAATAGATCTATGTACATAAAGTTATATGTTAAGAGCCCAGATGCTGTATCTTTTGAAGGCCGGGCACCATCAGGTTTCTTCACCACATTTGCTTATATACCCACTTTGTCTTCAGTGATCATGTCGGGAAGGTGAGTGTTATGGAATGCCAGGTTAATAGAACAAAGTGTTCTTAGCATTGAGGGAGTACTTGAGGCCCAATGCCCATCTGCTACCTTAATACTTAAAGGCAAACAAGCGGCCATCTAGCTGAGAAGCAACAAAGTCCACATGGAAGAAGCACACCAGCCTGTGCCATCACAAAGTATTGATAGGATTAGGTATCAGCCCTCAAAGAACAAAAAAATCATATCATTGTGAATGAGGGGAGTGAGGAGTGGAGACCCAAAGCCCATCTATAGGCTGCTTTCCCCCATTATCATGATACCAATTCTACCTTACAAATCCAGCTAGACCAGAGCATGTACACTGATACAGATAAGAGCTGGAAACACAGGGAATCCAGGACAGATAAACCCTTCAAGACCAATAATGAGAGTAGCAATACCAGAAGGGTAAGGGAAAGGGGGGGGGTACCGATCACAAGGATCTACATATAACTCCCTCCCTGGGGGACAGACAACAGAAAAGTGAAGGGAGACCTTGGTCAGTGTAAGACATGAAATAATAATAATTTATAAATTATTAAAGGGCTCGTGAGCAAAGGAGGGGAAGGGAGGGAGGGGGAAAAATGAGCTCATACCAAGGGCTCAAGTAGAAAGAAAACGTTTTGAAAATAATGATGGCAACAAATGTCCAAATGTGCTTGACACAATGGATGGATTTATGGATTGTGGTAAGAGTTGTACGAGCCCCCAACAAAATGATTTGGGGGAAAAAAAGTTTCTATAGTTTCAGAAAAGCAAATAGTTGGATATCAAAATATTAGTGAATTAACTAGTTCTTCAAAATGCACTAGATAAAAATAGGCAAAAATAAATTTCACAGGTAACATATAAGAGTATAAGCAATGACGAGAAAAGAATCAAAGGGTCATTTCTTCTGAGGAATTCTTTTGAAGGCTGAAAATCATTCCTTTTACTATTTATTCTAGCTATATTTTAATAGGACATTTAATAGATAGCTAGTATGTCTCCTAAAAAAATGAAGACTGCAAAATGAAATCAATACAACAAGATATAGATGAGCAAACCAGACAAAGAGCTAAATAATTCAGAAACATTTCTGAACAGAGTATTTCTACTCTGATCATGATGAAGTGCTCCACACTGGCGTCTTCTTCCTCAGGGAGCCCAGTAGGAAACCATAGACTTTACAAAACATATTCATGTGTGAAAATACTCAGGTTCCAAATATACAAATGTCCGTGTGTGTGTGTATATATGTGTTTGCTTGCTTCTTTTAATTGAGGGCAAGTAGCATAAAATGTTGATCTTCCAGAGAAACAAATGAAGTGAACCCTATGATGACCCACCTGTGCTTCATGCCTGCAGGTACTTACAGATGGTAAGACGCGACAGGGGACCAAGCCCGCACAACACCCAGTGATTTGAAACGGATATGAGTTCATTCCCACGACCCCCCCCAACTCCCCTCACCCCCGCGAAAACAAAAACAAAAGGCACCTCACTGTCTTTGAGTCAATTCTGACTCACAGTGATGGCCTAAAAGAGACTGTAACTGCTCCTGCGTGTTTCTGAGACAGCACTCTATGTAGAAAGCTTCATCTTTCTCCCTGGGAGCAGCTGGGGGTTTCTAGCTTTGGATCCTGTGATTTGTAGCCCCAGATGTGACTAGGAAATGTGTAGAAGAGAGTATCAAAGAGAGGATAGCGTCAGAATTCTGCACTGAGTCCAGCAAGGGGAGTACCCGGGAATAACAATTCAGAGTAGCACCTGTGTGAATTCCAGCCAGCCAGGAGGGCAGACCTCCACAACACTCAGAGCGCTCAAGGAGAGCTATGCAAGGTGCAGGGAGGGCAGGAACACTGATTTTGGACCATCCCTGACAAACCTTTAAGGAGCCCATGTGGTGCAATCGTTAAGCACTTGGTAGCTAATTAGAAGAGAGGTGACTTGAACCAACACAGTGACTCTGCTTAATAAAGATTTGGAGACCTGATCCTGGCCCAGGAAACATATGGGGCAGTTCTAGCCTGTCACACAGGGTTCACGTTGAGTCAAAATACACTTGACAGCATACAACAACAAATAACTAAGTCAACTATGCCCACTGATTGACAGATGCAATAGTTGAGAAGTTAGTTCTCCCTAAAATGAGCTACAGATTCAATGCAATAACCAATCAAAATCAAGTGATTTTCCCTCACAGAAATAAAGGCACTGATTCTAAAATTTATATGAAATAGCAACAATATGCAATAGCTATAACAATCATCAAAAAGGAATCAATGCTGGAAAAAATATACATCATAGACCTAATTATATAAGCCAAACTACAGAATTATTATAATACCATATATCCTCATGTATAAGCCGAGTTTTTCAGCACACTTTTAATGCAATTTTTGTGGTAAAATTAGATGCCTTGGCTGGTATTCAGGTCGGCTTATGCTCGAGTACATATAGTACATAATAATGTCTAGACCTACTAGAGATTACAGGCGAAAATCTAAGCAACCTTGGAGTGGGGAAAAGATTCCTTACATCGGTACTACATAGGGGCAAATGTTAGCCCTGGTGGCATAGTGGTTGTTAACCATGACTAACTACTAGGAGGCCTGGTGGCATAGTTGGGCTGCTAACCACAGGATCAGCAGTTCAAAACCATCAGGTGCTCCATGGAAGAGTGCTGGGCTTTTCTACTCCTGTAATGAGTCACAGACTCTGAACTCACAGGGAGTTCTAACTTGTCCCACTGGGCTGCTCTAAGTTGGAAGTGTCTCAGTGGTGAGTGAGAGTGAGGTGAATGGTTACTATACTCTGGCGCTACAAAGGTTGGAGCTTTGAATCCACCAAGAGGCACCTGGAAGACCTGGAGACCTACTTTCAAACATTCAGCCACTGAAACCCTAGGGAACAGCTCCATTTGAAGTTAGAATAAACTCAATGGCAACTTACAAAAATGTTTTATAAAAGAGTAAAAATGATACAATCAAAACCAGTATGCTGAGTCAAAGAAGCTAGACATGAAAGAATACAACTTTTACGATTCTCTTTATAAGAACATTAAGCATAAGAAGAAATACTCTTTGGTGAAATAAAGCCCAGCTGGGGCTGTTGGGAGCCCAAGGTGGTAAAGTGTCCATAAAACATTCCCTGTGTTGATGTCTGATATCCTGATACGTAGCAATCCCATGGGTATAGATCGTTGTCATACTGCTCACTGAAATGGTACATTTTACTGTACGAAAATTACATGTCAGCAAGGTTGATTTCAAAAGAACGCATTACAGCTAATTAAAACCCCCAGTTCAATAAAGTTTAACAAGTGGATGATAGGAGGTGGGCCAAAAACAAGATTAGAGTTAAATTAACAGGAGAAAATTTACATTGAAAAGCAATGAGGTTCTTTAAAAACTCAAGAACAAAAAAAATTTTACTATTAGGCCTTAATTTTATCAGCGTGCACAATTAGATGACTTCCAGTGTCTTTGAGTGTTTCCTGTGTGACTACATTACGTCTCTACAAGATAAAACGGACGCATTACCTCCTGAATTTCCTTTTCTAGCAGGTCCACTCTCTCTCTGAGGTGTCTCCTCTCTGTGTCAATTGAAAGAAGTTCGAGGCGAACTGAGCTGTTTTCTCCCTCAGCTTGATGGGCTTTTACCTCCCAGTCTTCAGCACGGTTATGAAGCATCTGAAATCTCCCCAACAAATCTTGATTTTCTTGTTCCTGGTTTCATGCAATGAAATTGTTACCATAATTCGTCACCACCACTCACTGTTAACATCATTGTGTACATAGATAGGTGTGCTGCGATTTTTGTTCTTCAGAAAGCCTGTGTGGATTTTCCTATTTAAGGTAAATAGGAAAATACAAGACAGGAGGAGAGATCTGTACTCCTAAACATTTAAAATCCCCAAAGGGAGACATAATCAACAAACAAAAATAGGGGGGTAAATCAATCTTAAATGCAGCCTAAATGCGTTCACCTTAGCAGCCATTAAGCTCTCCCACCGGGACACCTCAGTTATGTAATTGTGAACTCGACTCTTCATGTCTTCTTTTTCTTGCACCGCTGCTTCCAATTCTAGTGAGATTTCCTACAGAAAAGAAAGAACGAACTTGAAGACAAACATAGCATCTAATGAATCCTAACTATTTAAATAGATCCTATGGAATTTGGGGAATGCAAGAGAAGAGGGAAAAAGGAAAAAATCTTCCTTAAATTTTAATTCATGTTCTTTTTCCTGCTTGATCTTGACTTTTAAATTAAATCTTGACCTGATGGTGTAGTAGTTCAAGGTTGAGCTGCAACCTGCATGGTGGGCAGTTCAAAACCACCAGCAGCTCTGTGAGAGAAAGACTGGGCTTTCTACTCCCATAAATGGTTAGACTCGGATGAGTCAGTATTGACTCGATGGCAGTGAGTTTTGGATTGGTTTATTGATCTCCCACCATCAGGAGCCCTGGTGACATAGAAAATTACAAGTTGAGCTGCTGACTGCCAGGTCAACAGTTTGAATCCACCAGCGACTGTAGATGAAAGATGAGGCTGTCCACTCCGGTAAAATGTACAGATTCAGAGACCCAAAGGGGTAGTTTGACTCTGCCTCATAGGATTGCTGAGAGCTGGACTCCATGGTGGTGGGTTTGATTTCTGTTCTGATCCCATGTTCCATGATCGCCTTAACAACATACCGCATATATTTGAGTAAGCCAAGTTTTTCAGCGCATCTTTAATGCAGTTTTTGTGGTAAAATTAGGTGCCTTGGTTGATATTCCGTCGACTTACACTCGAATCTATAGGGTATCTGGCATTCACACTAAGGGCTCATAATGGTCAGGGACATTTAAAAAATTCCTCTAACAGCAATATGCCTTACAATGAATAATACTAACAGGAGTGGGTATGGTTTTTAAAAATTAAATATTTAAACCAGGAAAATCATTAGCAAAACCAGCACAAACAAAACCAATACGGCATTGTCCATTCTAAAATGCACATTCTAAAATGCAGGCATTTCTTTAAACAAGGGGAAGTAAGCATGAATAACTTTGTCTTGGGAGTGATGCCAAGGTCCTCACTAACACAGTGACAGTGACTTCTGTCACAGAGAATTCTATGCCGCTGTCCCCTTAGGGTTCCATGTCACAAAGCCCCAGATGATCAAAGAGACCACACTTGTGGCCAGTAGACATCCTGTGGCATGCAGTAGGATCCTAAACCACATTTTAAAATACCCCGGTAAACAATATTCTCCTTAAAGTTTTCTACTGATTAGTATTTATATTGTTACATCTTAGAAAACATATATAGAACTTTGAAAGTTAAATTAAAATGCTACTGGTGGGTAGTGAGTTACACATTGGGCTGCCAACGGCAAAGTCAGCAGTAAGAAACCACCAGCCTCTCTGCAGGAAATGGATGAGGCTTTCTACTCCCATAAAGATTACAGTCTCGGAACTACCCACAGGGGTAGCGCCACTCTGTCCTACAGGGTTGCTGAGTCGGAAGCAATGTGATGGCAGTGAGTAGTTTTAAGAGCAAAATTATCAAAGTTTATGTTCAGACCTGATTTTCTCTTGCCATGGTAGCCAGATCATCCTGCAATCTCCTGTTTTCCTTCACAGCTACGTCTCTAGCATGTCCCACGTCTTCAAGTTCTTTGTGGGCTGCATCAAGTTGGCGCCGGAGACTGCCAATCTCCCGGTCTCGATTAGTTAATGTTTCCTTTAGGTGCCTGGTACATGAGATGTAAGGATAATGAAAACACCGTTTTTTGAAAAATTTTAGTTCATGTAAAAAAGTAAGTTTTACTCTGAATGAAATAGGCAAAGAACAGAAGAAAACAAACTGCAGCTTTAACATATATATTTACTAACTAGGATCATGGAAATGTTTTTGGTCTCTACTAACATTATATACAAGCTAAGTCATAGAATACATGCCTAAAAGTCAAACAAATGAAACTTTCAAGTGCTAAAAGTAGAACTTAATTTAATCAGCCAGCATTTATAAAATATCTCAATCCAACTGATGTATCAAATGTTGGAAGAGTCTCTAATGCATATTTAATTAGTGATTTCCATCTTGAAGTGGCTGATAATCTTTCTGGAAACACCAGACATCAAATGTACAAGTTTGTACCATGGTTTCAGATGCAATCAGACTGACTGTTAAAGCAATCTAAGTTTCAAGGCTTAGGTACTGGGCAAGGCAAATGCCATAGGAACAAAGAGCTAGCAGGTATGTAAGGAGCCCTGGTGGCACAATGATTAAGCGCTGAGCTGCTAACCAAAAGGTTAGTGATTTGGGGGCGAAAAACACAAGTGATGTGCTCCCATAAACAATTGCAGCCTAGAGAGCTGATGGTGCCTGGCTATTAAAAGATATAGCATCTGGGGGCTTGAAGATAAACAAGCAGCCATCTAGCTGGGAAGCAACAAAGTCCACATGGAAGAATACACCAGCCTGTGTGATCACAAGTTATCAGGCATCAGAAGACTCAAAACAAAGAATCACACCGATGTGAACGAGGGGGGCCGGAGTGGAGACTCAAAGGCCCTCTGTAGATAATTGGACATCCCTTCACAGATGGGTCAAGAGGAAGGGAAGAGCTAGCCAGGGTGCAGTACAGCACCAATGAAACATACAACATTCTTCTAGTTCTTTAATGCTTCCTCCCCCACAACTATCATGACTCCAGTTCTACCTTACAAATCCAGATAGGCCAGAGCATGCACACTGGTACAGATAAGAGCTCTAAACACCAGGAATCCAGGACAGAAAATAATAATAATTGATAATTTACCAAGGGTTCATGAGGGTGGGAGGGTGGGGGAAAGAGAGAAAAAAGAGGAGCTGATACCAAGGGCCCAAAGAGAAAGTAAATGTTTAGAAAATGATGATGAAAAAAAAAAAAAAGAAAATGATGATGGTAACATATATACACATATGCTTGATACAATTGATGTATGGATTGTTATAAGAGCTGTAAGAGCCCCCAATAAAATGATCTTTAAAAAAAAAACAAAAAAGGTCTAGAAAACTCCATGGGGCAGTTGTTCTCTGGTGAACAGAGACGCTGCAAGTTGGAATCAAGTCAGTGGCACACGCCAGGTATGTAAAAGAAAAATTAGTAAGATTAGTAAAAGAAAAATTAGTATCTAGATGTATGTACTTAAATTACTAAGATGAATGTATTTAGATGACAGCCACGAGAAGAAAGTTCAAGAAGACAACACATTTTCAAGCCAGAGAGACTGAGACACTGAAGCTGCCGTTTGCAAAATGGCACAGTGAAGTAGAAAAGGGGAAATGGTCAATGACTGAATTGTGTACCCTAAAATATACATCAACTTATCATGTGCAAGCACTGTCGGTGGATTGGTAGTTTGGTAATGTGGCGGCTTGGTGATGTGACCTGCTCCCATGTGATGTATCAGTAGGTTGTCCAGGGATTAAGCAGGGTTGAGGTGGGAGGGAATGCATCACAGCCCTCACCTCATCAGTCCTGTTCCTATGTAAGGGTTGCTGGCAACACCTTTTACTTTAAAATAAAGAAAAGGAGAGAGAAGCAAGCAGACAAGGGAGGACCTACTCCCACCAAGAAAGTCAGGAGTTGAGTCTGTCCTTTGGGCGTGGGGTCCCTTCCCTGAGAAATGGCAAGAAGATTGATGTCAAGATACAGGGAGACCTTCAGAGAATGGATGGCTTACAGAAGGTGGAAGGAACTGACAGAGGCAGAAAGTCTTCCTCTGGAGCAGGGATACTTAAACTTTCCCCACTCCTCACCCCTTTTTGCCTGAGGAATTTGCAACATAGGCAAGCCCTGCTAGAAACACCTTGGATTCACTGCACATTTGATTTTAAATAAATTTTTGGTCATTGCGTGATTAAGAACCTTTTACATTTGCCAAAATTTCGAGCATCCCTATATTCAACCAATGGGGGCTGCAACACAGCTGAAACAGTATTTCCCAACTCAGGGGACACCATCGCCTGGGGGATGCTAGAATGATCCAGGGGAGCTGCAAGAGCAAGTAACCACACCAAAGTCATTGCCTTCAAGTCGATGCTCACTCACTGCGACCCCATAGGACAGACAGACCTGCCCCTGTGGGTTTCCAAGAGTGTAACTGTTGACAGTAGAATGCCCTGTCTTCCTCCTGGAAAATGCTGGCCTTGAGGATAACAGCCCAATACATAACTACCACACCACCAGGACTCCCTGAAAAATCAAATACATAGCCCTTTTCTGGATTTGGGGCTAGAGTATACAAGTTTTTAATTGTCAGGAGGGTGCTGAGTAATTATTTTTCTGAAAAGGGGACAGATAAGTTTGGGAATCTACGTTCTAGAGCCAGCACTCTGAATAGGAGGATGCAAATAAGCTGCAGAGAATTCTAATGTTGCCATTTAACTGGGTATAAAAGTTAGTCATCTCAGAAGCACAGACAGGGGAATCTCCTGATGAGTGAAGCAGGTGCATGTCTCCTGTCTGAAGCGGCAGGGGCAGCAGAGCTCACAGCATTGAGCTCAGGAGACAGCGTGGAAGAGCCATGCCATGACCGCGAGGCAGAATGCCTTTGCGAAAGAGGCTGGCTGAGGTACTCTTTGGGCATTATCAGCACTAAAGGAGATCTATAACAGTTTTCTGAGCGGGGCAGAGGCCAACGGGCCATGTAGCTGAAGATGAGAGACAGACCTGCCTGTTGACACAGCTGAGGATCAAAGGACTGTATCCTTAATATTTTCTGATCCTCACTGGTGGCAACCTGTTAACCTTCCTAATAAACCCTCATAATCGTGAATATTATTTGTGGGTTATGTGTGCTCATTGCAATGAATTATTAAACCCAGTAGAAAATCAGTGTGCTATGGGAGAGATGGCAGGTGTTAGAAGCAGGAAGAGAAGGATGAAGGGTAGAGGCAGTCTGACCTCTCTACCTGTGGCCTTGGTTCGGTGTGAGTTGGCTTCCCTTTCTCCCGTGTGAAGTCAAAGGATGTAGCCCCATGCCATTTCTTCAAGTAATTGCATTTACTAAAATTTTATAGAAAAGCTGAGATCATTTCATTGATTACTTACTTCATGGATGAGTCATACTCTGCCATTGTTACCTTCATATGCGCAATAGTTTTTTCCTGACAGAAAATTATGAAAATTATTATGAAAATATGTAAGATTTAAAACTACATAGAAATGTCTTTAATTTATACTATTCATCACATCTGCTTAATTCAAATCCAATTATAAAAATTATGCCAGAAAAAGAAAGCTCCCAGTAAACATATTTCCATGTACTTCACAGATCAATGTGTTCCCACCCACCCTATGAACTTGAATGGTTTGCTGTGATCTGATGGATGAAATCTCCATTCTAGATGGGAGAACTTTTCACGATTCAAAGTACGGGGATGAAAGAAATTATTATCCTTTCAAATATATTTGTCTTTCCCCCAGAGAGGCCCTGGTGGCCGTGAACCACTGACCTTTCTGTTAGTGGCCAAGAACTTTAATCACTGTGCCACCCAGGGGCCTTTTTACATATCGATATGAAAATGCTAGGTGTGTTTAACATATTAAACGTATTAGAAGCCAAAGTCTTGGAACTTAAGAACTTGTACAAGAAAGATAAAAACTCTAATAAGATAACAGCATTTAACAGTCACATACTTTATTAGCTAAGTTTTCTTCCAAGTTTGCAATCTTCTCTGTCTTCTCATCTACAGTCTCCTGCAGAAGGTCCTTTTCTTTATCAATAGCACCAATGGTCTTTTTCATTGCATTTATTTCCTGGTCCTGTGAAGTCACTCTAAGATTTAGTTTATCTACAAATGGAAAGAAATGTTTGTTAGAATGCATTTAGGACTAGCAAAATAATTATCATAGTAACAAATGTCCAGACACTGACCTATCTTATCTTCTAGCGCTGCAATTTCTAATTGGGCTGCCTCCAGTTCACCTCTCTTCATGATAAGTCGTTGTTGGCAATCATCAAGTGACCGCTGCAGCTGTTCAGTGACCATCCTGGAGAAATATTTTTATTTTCTCATTTGTGTTTATTTTGTATTGTAAAGCACTTCCAATATAAACAATGGCATTATAGTGCTTATTACTTCTTGTTGTCCACCTTTGTTCAAAATGATGTTATCTTACCCCAAATAATACAGAATAAAAATTAATTGTAAACACTTTGCCTCAGGTTTCCTCAGTTTTAAGGCCCTTCTTGGTCTCCTGATATAAAGAAAGAACTGTTATCAACCCCCTTTCCTTAAATCTTCTGCTCAGTACTGGGGGCAAAGGAAAAACTCAATCTTCTTTTACAGGATGTTGTGGCACCTCAGAGGATTGCCCATCGGCTCTGATCTGTCAGTTTTTAATTTTGTTTCTTCCCATTCCGAACTTTTGGTGGTTTGGCAAGTTGAGGTCACAGTTATGAGGACGCAGGCATTTCTTGTAGGGGAATGGGGATTTGAAGCTA